ACCATCAGTTAGTTTCGGTGCAGGACAATTGTAAGCTAGAAGTGACAACGCACACCAAAAAACACAGGCACATTGGTATGCTGACATGACCCCACGCTGTCTAAAACAACGAGACCATCCCGCAAGTGAACACATGAATACGCTAGTAACCGTGGCAATGTGAATTATAACAACCTAAAAGGACTACACGAAATACTGTGTATTGAGCAGGGAGTGGTGCTTTCTTCCAGGTTTGCCGAGTGGAAGGTGCGACGTGCTCCTCGTGTGCTCCGGATGGCAGTCTTGAGTCAGTCAAGTGTCAAGTTCGGCAAGAAGCGTGTGCTCCTCGTTGGAGCAACCAACTTTCTGACTATTACCTCCGAAGTCGCAACTTCTAAGTTCTAAAAGGATTAGTTAAAATATTCTTTTAAAAAGCAATAACAATTACAGTTACAGTGGTGGAGAGTTACTCTTAACTCGTTTCCATGTGTCTTTTTCCTTTCTACTTTAATTTAAGTGATTAAAATAACTTAATTCATTAAAATAACTGCTATACCTGTACAATGTTTGAAAGCTCCACCGTTCCATGCGCCTCCCCCGTCGCAGTCAGCAGTTCTAAAGCCGTCGTTATAGTATCCTGGGTTGCACTTGTAGAATGCCTGAGATGGAAAGACATTTCCTGACGGGTAGACTACTTTGCCATTGGTAATCTGTAGATTTTCTCGACACCTTGAGTTTATGGAAGCTGTGGATAAACCGAACGCAATAATAATTCTCTGCAGTTCATTGTAAATGGATTTTCAATCACTGCCTGTTATTTAGAGACCCACAATGGTTAACGATAATGTATGTCAAATATTTGCGACTGGTTGCGCCGCAGACATCTGGCGAATGTTTCGCTACTGTCTAGTGTCGATACCCAATTTCCTGGAGAGGTCGATCGTATCTAGCTATTATCAAAATCCCGAGGATCGATGCTTATCATGAACAGGATGTCTGCGTATCTTGAAGTGATGCAATATCAACTCGTGGTTTTGAGTCTCTGGGCCGCGAGAGGAACGTCACAACACGAAGCGGTGTAAAGGGACTAGACAACGGGTTGTCTTTTCAAGATAGAATCCAAATTTGAACAAAATATACTTATAATTATATAGGTATTAAGAAACGATGTTCAAATGTTTGTAGAGTCAGATTTGCTAAGAGGGGATCCACAATAGGTTTACACAAAATGGGCCATACCCAAAGCGAAAATACAAAGAGACGGTCTTGTCTGCTTGCAGAAAGATGTGGAGCAAATAAGGGTTAGCAATATTCAATGGTCCTCAGGCTGCAACTGAACATAGTACATGGCGAACTATGTGGCTTACATTGACGGCTTTGCTTGAGACTTTGAGCCGTTCTTTAACATGTTCGACACGTGATCAGCTGATTACTGTCGATAATTACGGCCAGACAACGAATCTAATCCAATACGCGTGGCTGCACGCAACTCAGGCAGATGATAGGCACCCAGTGGAGATTGTGTCCCTCGGCGTGTGTTACAATGTATCAACTGATACACGATCAAATGCTTCACTGATGACGCTTCTTTGCAGTCCAAGACACAGTTAGTTGGCAGAGTATGATCAACATAGATTAGAGAATGCTGGTGATGTGCTCTGTTTTAATCTTTTCCCGTCAACTTTCCGAAGTGGGAACAAATGTTTATCAAGGGAATAGTCACTGGTAGTAGCGTGATCTTGAAGATTACAGTCAGGGAAGTCAATATTTCCACTTTCTTTCAGTGCATTGTTCCGAAAAATACCCCTTAAATATTTCCCGCTATGACTGTTCAAAAATGACTCCTTTAGAGATGTGTTCCCCAGTTTCAAAGCGTGCATACGCTCTTACTAGGGTCATTTTCATGATTTTGCAGGCCTTCGGACACTGCCTGCAACCTTTGAGCGCAATCGGGAAGATGATCCAGTCTTTATTATTCAATTTTACTCGCATTAAATATTACCATTGCTAGCTTCAGATCGGGTACTGCGGCAAACAACAACTGGGCCCGAGGTAGGGCATGGGTCCGCCTTCGGATAGCATGACACTTGTCCGTTCAAATTTGTATACGCTGAATTATTGGTACCAAGAGCAGAGTTAATGTGAGCAAGGTAATTCCGGAAACAAGTAGAATTAGCTTCTGAAGCTAGCAAGGCAGCATATTGTAAGCGGGCACAACGTCCTAGAGCATCCCTCGCGGGTGTTCCTTTCCATATGCTGTTGCTGATGTAATAGAGACCTTGAGGGTCATTACAATTGAAGTGAGCTGCACATAGAGATAAAGAAATCATCAACGGTATCAACAATTACTTTAACAACAATAACAACAGCAACAGGAAAAACGACGACGACGACGACGACGACGACGACGACGACGACGACGACGACGACGACGACGACGACGACGACGACGACGACGACGACGACGACGACGACGACGACGACGACGACGACGACGACGACGACGACGACGACGACGACGACGACGACGACGACGACGACGACGACGACGACGACGACGACGACGACGACGACGACGACGACGACGACGACGACGACGACGACGACGACGACGACGACGACGACGACGACGACGACGACGACGACGACGACGACGACGACGACGACGACGACGACGACGACGACGACGACGACGACGACGACGACGACGACGACGACGACGACGACGACGACGACGACGACGACGACGACGACGACGACGACGACGACGACGACGACGACGACGACGACGACGACGACGACGACGACGACGACGACGACGACGACGACGACGACGACGACGACGACGACGACGACGACGACGACGACGACGACGACGACGACGACGACGACGACGACGACGACGACGACGACGACGACGACGACGACGACGACGACGACGACGACGACGACGACGACGACGACGACGACGACGACGACGACGACGACGACGACGACAATAACGACAACGACAACGACAACGACAACGACAACGACAACGACAACAACAACAACAACAACAACAACAACAACAACAACAACAACAACAACAACAACAACAACAACAACAACAACAACAACAACAACAACAACAACAACAACAACAACAACAACAACAACAACAACAACAACAACAACAACAACAACAACAACAACAACAACAACAACAACAACAACAACAACAACAACAACAACAACAACAACAACCAGCACAAAAAGCCGCTGCCCTCAACGAATTCTTCATTTCACAGAGCAAGCTGTCCGTGGCCAATGCGGATGAGCAAACTCCAGCCATCAACACCACCCCTGACATCCTCAGTCCCCTTCAAGAAATCTCGACTTCCCAAGCTGAGGTCGAAAAACTCCTCCGAGGAGTTGATACCAACAAAAGCCCCGGGTTTGACTCTATTCCAAACCGCCTCCTCAAAGAAGCGGCTAAGGAACTTGCACCGTCGTTATCGTCCCTCTTTAATCTATCGTTCCAAACCGGAGAAATCCCACAGGAGTGGAAAGATGCCACCATTACTCCAGTACCCAAGCCGGGTGACCCAACCCAACCAACAAATTATAGACCCATCTCTCTCTTGAGCACTACATCAAAAATCCAAGAAAAAATTGCACATCAACTCCTCTACAAGCACATCACACCCCACCTGCCCAACCAGCAGTCCGGATTCCGCGAGAAAGACGGCACTGAGCAGCAGCTCGCCCGTCTCGTCCATACCCTCTCCACTGCGAGAGACGACGGGAAACACGTCAATGCCTGCTTTTTCGATCTAAGCAAGGCCTTCGATCGTGTGTGGCATGCAGGCCTTCTAGCAAAACTCTCCCACTATGGTGTCCAGGGCAACGCCCTGGAGTGGTTCCGACGGTACCTGTTGGGGCGTCGGCAAAGGGTCCAGGTGGATGGCGACCTATCGCCTTTCCTCGAGATCCCTGCCGGCGTCCCTCAGGGATCTGTTCTTGGGCCGCTTCTATTCCTCGTCTACACCATAGACCTTCCACATGCATGTGAGAATCCCGGCACCACCTGTAGCCAGTTTGCAGATGACACCGCTCTGATTTCCATAGCGAGAACTCTTCAAGACTGCACCCGAAACCTACAACAGAGTGTCACAGCAGCTGGAGACTGGCTTCAAAGATGGCACCTGCTGGTTAACACAAAGAAAACAGTCATCCTCCCGTTCTACCACAATAACCGCCCCCCTGAACAGCTACCCCAGATCACCCTCAGGAATAGTCCGCTTACCGTAGCACAAAAACACAAACACCTCGGAATAATCTTTCAGCATGACCTCCGTTGGACGGAGCATGTTGAATACATAGTCAAAAAATCACTCAAGTCTTTCAATATTCTTTTTAGACTAAGGTCTACACTCACCAGTGATTCTTTATCTCACATCTATCAGACATACATACTACCTATATTCTCATATGCGAGCACTGCTCTCACACCGTTGTCCCACACTTCCCTTGACAGGCTAGAACGACTCCAGCGGAAAGCCGCCAGAATATGTCTCCACCTTCCCCTTTACACACACTTAGAACACTCCCACCTTTTGCATCGCATCAAATGGCCAACATTATTTTCACGTTTTAAAGTTAAACATATACTCTTCGCGCATTCTCTGCGCCACAATTATGCCCCACCACATATACTCTCGCTGCATACTGCTAGCAACGTGCAACCTTCGTATAATTTACGTCGCTCTCGTACTTGGCACTTGCCAACTCCGCGGACTGACCGCTGTCTCCATTCTCCCCTGTACAAGGCCCTTCATTACTTTAATTGCCTGCCCACCCAGCTTCGCGAAAACCCTTCTCGTACTCCCTTCAAATCCGAGATATCCCTGCTGTTGCACAACTCTGTATGCTCGTGTAGCGACCACCCCTGCCCGTACACTTAAGTACGCAACTCTGTATGCTCGTGTGGCGACCACCCCTGCCCGTACACTTAAGTAGTCATTAACCCCTAGGCCCTGCCCACCCAATTCTTCCTCACTCTTTCTCCTTTCTTACACTATTATCTCTTATTGGCCACTGGCTATCGTGAGAATAAAGATTTGAAACAACAACAACAACAACAACAACAACAACAACAACAACAACAACAACAACAACAACAACACCAACAACAACAACAAAAACAACAACAACAACAACAACAACAACAACAACAACAACAACAACAACAACAACAACAACAACAACAACAACAACAACAACAACAACAACAACAACAACAACAACAACAACAACAACAACAACAACAACAACAACAACAACAACAACAACAACAGCAACAACAACAACAACAACAACAACAACAGCAACAGCAACAACAACAACAACAATAACATTCAAAATTAACATCATGTCCAAATTTCGCGTCATGATGGCTAACCCACGGAAGCATCCCTACCATTAGCTGATAATCCTGCATACCCGACGCCTTGGCACCAGAGAAATGTGTCGCTTGGCACAATCCTTTTCCTGAACGTATCCTCAATGTACTGTTGCCAAGGAAAAGTTTACATAATTATGATATATCCGTACTACGGGCCCCAACTGGATTACGAGGTCTTTTATTTCTTTGTCGCACATTCCTTCACCTTCCCCTGCATTCTTCCCCTCTCCTTGAGGCCGCATATTACATGAAACGGTTGAGGAAGAGAATTTAGGATGGCACCACAGTGTAATGTGTCGTCCTTGGTATTGGGAAACTCCACTTAGCTATGGGCTGATGATGCATTAGACCCCTTAACACCTCAAAATGTACGAAAGGGCGAATTTGGTGATGCAATGCAAAAGTGAGCACAGCATTATATCGTATATCAGAGTTCCAACTCGATAATTTTGACCTTTCAAACTTTGGCTGAAACTAGAAAGTAGAAACTGTGTCGACACAATTCTAGACAAAATGTTTCAAGTCCATGCTCCACATAGTGTTCAAAACCCTTGCAACGATATTATAGTGCTAGGTTTTCGTTCCTCAATCGTGATCCGTCCACAGTGGTCGAAATTCGGCATTAGCATACTGCTAATTAATTGATTCCGAGGAGATTTATAGTGGATATCCTTGCTTCGTTGGGTGATTTAAACCTTATCGCCACCTTTCTGTTCATATTATATATGGCAGTGACAGCATTGCCGTTTACGAGGTACACGTGACTGAAAGAGTGCCTTCTTTTTACATACATATGGATTGTATTGATGTAATGGTACTAGTATATGTTGGAGCACATGTAAAGCATTTATTCATAGCGTAAGCCAGGGACAGGCAAGTGGTATATGCAATGAATTGATGACAGCATATCCTCCTCCTTGTTTTGCTCTTAGAAGGATCAGGAAAATTTAAGGCCAGCACTCGCTAATCGGCCAGTAGTTCGTACTCTGCATTGATATTTTTCAAATTATGCTTGAAATAAGTCCGTTTTCGCGAATGTTCGCTGTAGAGGAGTTCGTGACAATCGAATTATTTGGACTTGATATGATCCCTGGTCACCTACAAGACAACCTAGTCCATACTATTGGAACGTTTGCCTTGCCAGTGTTCGTCCTCAAAACGTGTAACTGTAGTAGAGGTGGCTTGCATCAGTGCACAGAAGATTTTCCGGAGTTGTAACACCAGAGAGAGATAGATAGAGATAGAGATAGAGAGAGAGAGAGAGAGAGAGAGAGAGAGAGAGAGATAGAGGGAGAGAGGGAGAGATGGAGCGATGGAGAGAGGGAGAGAGAGAGGGAGAGAGAGAGGGAGAGAGAGAGAGAGAGGTAGAGAAAGAGGAACCGAGAGACAAAGAGAGAGATAATACATACACAAAGAGACAGACCTAGCCGATTGGAGTAAGATGGACAAGAGAGCGATATAGAAAAGGTATTAATAAAGGCAAAAGGTGAAGTAGAGAACTTGACGTGTTGTGTATGTTACTTATTGAAGTATCTGAAAGAAAAGCTGATGGCTTTATGATAAGTACACCTGGTTACCCCGAGTAAGATGACCTCCTCTTCAGTGCATCAACAGTCGCCCTATCATTTCACTAACCGTCGTTGGCATATCAAATCCACCGTTAACTTAAACTTACCAACATACATGTGGAGTTGAGCATTAATCTCCACCCAGGTTGCACTTAGAGCGAACAATATTGTGAAGAACCTACGAATTTGATCCATAGCGAGAATGTCCTTTCAGCAGTAGAGCAGAAAAGACCACATTCATATAGAAGGATTTATAATTCCAAAATAGATGGTTTAGAAATGGGGGCTTATTTAGACTTTTTGTCAATTTGATCTCGTCATAGATTGTTTCCGCGGTGTCCATCAAACATATTTACAAGAAAAAGACCCAGAAGAATCTAATCACCAGAACAAAAGCACTGGCTGGCAATGCGAACGCTTCCCAAATTTCCTCCAATTTCAAACGACCACTAACAACAGCATGTATCACACTGCTTGCTATGGCGGTCGCGCATTAGGCCGAACAGGTAGACATCAAAACAAACCAATTTCCAAATTACTACTAATTCTATCTCTGTCCGTAGGGACTGCGTGTAAGGTCCAGGAACGTTAACAATTGCTATCCTACACCCTATCTAGTAACTAATAATTTTGTTGTCACATGCTCAATTATTCCCAACCCATCGCGACTGTCATTGACTGTAGATAGCTTTATCCGCAGGCTAGTGCAACGGCTGGCACACGACCCATAGTCGATAAAACACATTAGCGATTTTGACTGCGCCTCAATTGGCATATTCAGGCAGTGTTTGGGTAAGCGTTTGCGTGCTGTAGACAGGTAATGATTAATTTAGAGGCAGTGAATGATTCGAGTGTCCACTCTGCTTTTCCTGTGAACACGAACTATCCGGCACAAAAACTATCAACTCGATATCCCGAATGAGAGCTGTTTCTACAAGTACCCCGTCAGATCTCGTCAGGGAAGCTCAGGATAACTGAACGAACCGATCGCACTGATGTCTTCTGAACGAAAACACATTCACTTCTTCAATCTATCCAAGGCATGAAATACAGACTGCTCCAGCTGGGCACAGATTGTTGATACCTTGATATCGTGAATTAAACCATACATGCAAGTATGCAAACATACATGTACATGATCGAAATGATTTGCAACAATTTGAAAGAGCGCTCCATTCGCATTATTATTATTTTGGGTATGTGCAGAATCTTGTACAAACTAAGGATTAAAAGTGTTCTTCCAGTAACTACGGGTTTCACACATCATTCAGTACTGTAGTTAATGAGGTCAAAAGTACGAGAAAACCAACTGTTATTGACTGCAGATCTAGTCCACATGATAATCGCTATTGTGTCAAATACACAAGAGACATTGGAAGCGGTGTCGCAACTCTGAGTTTCTTATTACTACGACCATCAGCCGAAGGGCAAAACGGGCAGTATAAACATATTGGGGACCAAGGTGAGAAATTCTAAGGGATATCGAACGCAAGTGTCAGTTGCAGGCGAGTTTCAAATACCAACCAAGCTCCGTTTTCCCTTCTACGTAACAGGACCAGCACAATTGTATAAAATACGTACAGAGTGAGTCAGCGCGCGACGCAGTGGTTCAGCTCAAGCCACGAGAATCTTTCGCAGAGTCGGTGGAAATAGCAGAATTAACCGCTCCCTTATATTCAGTTCAACACTCGTAACACATATTTCCAGTGACCGGGATTTTACTGCAATTCGTTCAGCGGCATCCTCCTCTAAGCAAGCGGGAGGAACGTGCTTACTGTTCATATGGATCGTGCATATTTGACACATTCTCAATCATTATTCTTGCCTTTCTTCGGAAGCCAAGGCCGCTTTCACATGTGTTAAACAAGAAAAAAACGGAAGCCAATTTCAATACACAGTGTGCGACAGCTGCTGAACACTTGTCATCTGATGATTCACATGCTGGGGAACCTTGGTACTAGTATTCTAGCTGACCTGGATGGATCGGCTTTCCAAGGTGTTATTTTATTGTCCCTCATATCACCATAGGAGTATTGATTTCAGCACAACATAGTCCTTAGCCTACTCAAACTCACAAAATGAGGGTTAAATCCTTCGAAAGCACATGCAAAGACCTGGAAGTGCCCAATCTTATAAGTGTGACGATTCAAAATTGATATGGACTTTTAACTGCCTTGAAAAGGACTGTTTCTGGCCATAAAGTAAATACGACAAACCGCATAATTCCGGTGGAGCTGGTTAGATATACATGTACTTGGAGTACCTGAAACGTATGTAGACCGTTCCTTAGGTCAATGTAGATGTACGGTGGCGATAATGTGAAATGTTAATAATATATTTGCCCTGTTTAGACCCTAATCCATTTCTGTTTCATTATTGATTGAAGGTAAGTCTCAGAAATTTGATAGATTGAAGACAGGCAACACACTCCAACTTGTATTTTTCCCATCAAAAGAATTTCGAAAATAGCCAAAATCAAGAGATTGAATGAGAAAATCTCACACGTCGTTATTGAACCAAAATATGATGTGTCCATGCTCCGGAATATCTCGGTGGCACGGCCACAGATTATAGTACACTATAAAAGCATAGAATAACATTAGTCTGGTTGTGTTACTCTTCTAGGCACTGGGGTATGCCACTTACTTCCACAATTACAATATCCACATGTGTCCCAATGGAACTATACTTCCTGAAATGCATTACTGTCGGTCGAAGAGACACACGAGTTGACGAAGTTAGGATCACCTGACGCATGCAAGCCACGACATGATCGTAACCAAACAGCTCGTCTGTCTGTCAGGTGCTACTCCTACACTGTACTGCAGATGGTTTGGTGAATCTGGAAAGTAGTAATGCAGTGGCAGCTACACTAGACATAATAAACAACAGTAAGGAGCTGCCCAGGGCTACAGGTAGTTTGCAGGAGACTCTAAGGCGGGCACGGCCGCGCGAGTACCTCACTAGCAACGCGCATGACTGTTAATGACCCACAGATAGGGCGCTTTGAGTTGAAGCGGGCAGTCAGAGGCCGCCTTGTAGAAGTCTGGCTGACCATAAGTTATCTGGGATCACAAGCCAAGGGCTGAATGTATTTGTAAATCGCGGTTGGATTTCACAATGGATAGGATGGAAGCGGACCATGTGATTGTACTCACTTAATTAATCTACACGTGCTTTAGTATAATTCATATTGAGGATCTGAACGCCGTACATGTCCCACTACTAGGATAATCACATCAACATTTGGCAAACAGGTGGATTCAAGCAACCGCCAATCCTATGCCTGACACAAAGAAGATTGCAGAGTACAATCGTGTCATGAACTCCTGTCTAGCGAATGCTACTGTTCAGTAACCCTGTCAGCGAATAAAACAACCACCCCCGGAATTTTTAGGACTATGACTATTCAGATGGTAAGCCAAGTAAAAACCTGTATTATGGAAAATTATTTTTTGGGCACAGGTTATGCTATCGAGCCAACTAAACCAGATTTTGAGCTGCACAATCTAGCTCAAAACTGACGGGGAGTACTGAGACGTTACAATTCGACCTCATGAAGCTTCCCCTTCATATTTTAACCTCTGATAATATTGAGCCTACCAAGTTGGGTGGTTGTTGCTTTGCGTCTTTGAATAATGTTATTCTGGTTTGACTATTCTGTCTTTTCTTGCGAGCCCTTTATCGTACCAAGCAAGCAATCCATGACGCCTTGGAATCATACGTAGCTTGTGTTCGGCTCGATGGCGCTTACCTTCACCCACTTTGGAATTAGCACTAATGTGCATGACCCTGCCAAGTCGGAAGGCCGTAGGTTGACTCTATCGAGCAGTGCTCAAGCTGACGTTAATTCGTGGAATTCCGCAGTTTTCCTTGTCAATTTCGTGCTAGATAGATTGTGCACGTCTGACTCGATTGCCTAACTGTTGTGCCCACCGTTTACTTTTTACAACTATAATTATTGTAGGACCTATCACATCAGATACTTCCCTGGTTCACCAGTGCCCCAATCATTTTTTGTTGACGAACTACCGGTATACATGTATATTTCTGTAACATGTGTACTTACATTTTTTATGACAAGACAACGTCAAAATGTTGTGGTCACCTATCGTGTGTACTGCGAATGTAGCCGTAAGTCCAAAACAAGATACTAGTAATGACCTTGTTTCGAGGAGGACGATTTTTCCCCAATTCTTATATGTTGCGAGATCAGGCCTTGATTGGTCTTTCGGTGAATCTTCTTGTTGGATATGGGGTAAGGGTGGACAATATTCATAATAGGGACCGTTCGCACCACGCGGACGGATACGAAACGAATTCTGATTCGTCACCTGGGTTCGAGGATTCGTCAGAGTCGCCGAGGAGAGCTCGTTTTCACGAATGAAAGCCTCTTCATTCGTGGCACGCTCCGAATCCGTCAGGTACACATTTTTTGGCAAGGTACACATGTTTTGCCAAGTATACATTTTTTTCCTTGATTCGATGATCCATGCACGTGTGCGCGAACACACCCGTAGTACCAAGGTACCGGCCGTATTCGTAGTTGCCATGCAGATTTGCATTACGACTTGCGAAACCTGAATTCTGTTTTCACCGAAACGATTACAAGCCGAATCAAACTTTCGTTTCGCATTCGATTCGTAGCAAATGCGAAAGGTCCCTAATATAATTATCGGAGCTTGTGACGATACCATGCATCCAGTCGATACTTCAGCTTCTTCGTTAGTGTCCATAGGCCACAGTTGTACAAGAGTACAGGCAAAATCAGAACTTTTAACAAACAAAAACGAGACATGTAAAGAGCGGCGCCTCCTGTGGCTGGGGAACGTTGCCCGGGAAGGACCAGGCGCGGCCTCTTTCAAGGCACTGCAGCTAGCCGTCAATACGTCGGACATCAGGCGCCGCCGTGCACGACCCCACTAGAGATGGGTCGACAACATCAGAGAAGACCTTGAACCTCTGAAGGTGCCGATTCAGGAATGCCTCAACCTCGCAACCAACAAGCAACTCTGGTTAACGATCATTGACAGATGCATGACCCCGTATGATTTTTCCCTGCGGGCAATATGTGACCTGTTCATATTATTATTATTATATTATGTTGTTTTGTTCCAGATGTATACGACCGGGGCCAATGCCATGGGTGCAAGTTCATTCAAAGAGTCATAAATTAGTCAAATCTCAACTGAATTTAACAATTGAACTACGTACGAGGTACCAGACTACGACTGGGGTCGATACGAGCTAGTATAATGGAGCTGCAAGCACTCGATCAGTTTGCTTCATTTCTCAGGATCTAAGACTAGAGACTGTGTCAGAGCAGTCAGTCAAATGTGACATTGCTCTTTGCCATGATACATAATATTTTGTACATGACATTGTGTAGGTGCTCTTGTCTATCAATAACACAACCATTGGTGAACCAAAATAATGTATCCCAAAAAGTTTCATTCCAACTGACCGAGTTTCCTTTTTGAGTGGCTACCGACCGGAAACAAGTCTATTATTTTGACATCACGAATATTCCGGTTCCCTCATCAGGTATAGAATAGTCTATGCTCCAGTGGTTCTTGTTATGCTTAATCGCACACGTCATTCCATACTGCACTTCTGTCGTCATACACATACTTCGTTTTATGAGAAAAACCAAGAGACTGCCCTACGAAGTTGTCTTTGACCAGTACTGTTTAGCTAGACTCGCTTACAGTGCACTGAAGTTTCAGTCCATTTCTAGAACCATTTTTGATTGTGGTGCATTTTTAGTGGTTAAGCTAATGGAATTGAAAGGGAAAGTGTTTCATAGAATGAACTGCTTCATTGTTTCAGACATCATTGGAAATATCATTAACTGACGTCCGGCACGTTACAGAACTCTGAGTTGTGGTTCATTTGTGTGCTGGCACCGTCATTATTGAAATACTATACTGAAGGCAGCGTGTACATGTAGTTGAAGATGGATAAATTGATTGTCCGGCATGGATCACTTGATTGACATGTATAGATACCTGGATTGTCCTGTACGATTGTTGAACTTCTCACACTAGAACAAAAGGAATTTTATTCATAAGGAGATGAATGAATGTATCTTTTTGATATGTACTCCATAAAACCGAAGGAAGCTACACAAATTAGTTTGCGCGCCCACCCCTCCCCTTCCAGAGTCATACTTCTTCCCTTCATTGGTGTTCTCCCCATATTCTCATACATATATAGGGCTGTGTTCCCAGTAAAAACCCACCAGTCCTCTCTGTATAAGGACCGTTATCTCAACATTCCCAGCCCTTTGGTACTCTCTGCTTTACTTTTGTCCTTCTGGCCAGACTGCAATTATCACTATTGGCAACAGACCATTTTTTGTTCATGCTATAGTTATGGCTTTTTTCCAGGGTATTATTTAGTGTACGACTAACTCTATAGTGTAGACCCTCTGGAAGACCGCGGCTTCCCCATGTTGCAACGTAATAGCGAGACACTGAACTTGAATAATCATTGGTGCAATTGAAGATAATTATTACGTGAGTTTGCAGAGGAGCAATCAGAGACTAGAGTAACTGTCTCCAGCTATGAGCAATAAGAAAAGGCGAGGAAAAGCGCAAATGTTGCAAGCAGGCTAAGCAATGAACAATTATTGCAAACATTCACACTGTGTATGTATAAAAGGATAGCGTGGTTGCATGATTAAGAACATTATTTGGCCTTAGGTATCATAGAGGCTAAAGACAGTCAAACCCAAGAGAAGATGTGGTTGAATTTTGTCGCACTGCTCTTGAAATGTACCAAAAATGCCGGCAATAAAAGAACAGCAAATGGTCTGCTTTCACTAAACCTCCAGTAAGTAACACATTGATTGTATTCGAGAATTTATAATGTCCAATAGGCGACTTTCAAGGACAGTCTGGTTTGTATCAGTCCTCGAGCACAGCATGCTCGTCAGTTGGTCCAATATGCTGTATTCTGCCACCTACTTCCAATGCACAGCTTCGCAAGGGCACAGAGCGGCTCGTTTTTGTGCACTCTTTACCAAACCTATGGGCGTCTTCAGGCAAGTGCTGCGATCCGAACGTGTCCATTCTATGCTGCCCTTCTTAGTGAAATAATGAAAGAAAATCGTACAGTCCATGTGTTACGGCTTGGAGGTTTAGTGCAAAAGATGCCCGGGCTGCAATGGGGCTACACATTCTAACAATAAAGCTAAATATTATATTGAAATAGTAAGTAAGGAATGGGGAAACAGCGCCTTGTTTTCTCAAATATCCGAAGTTTTGCCAATTCCAACGGGCGATAGGCTGTATGCAAAGAATATGCAAAATGGTGGTAAGTGCTCCAGATGCAGAAAACGTAGAAGAGAAGAGGAAGAAATATAGAAAGCATGTATGGTTAAATCTGGCACATTGTTTCGTACTGGGGCTCTTGGTTTGTTTCCACTGCAGTTGAGGTCATCTCGTAAGCATCATTTTCTGTCAATTTGCTCGCAAAAACCGTTGTTTGCTCGTTGCTGCTCGTCTCTCTTACCGTGGTGATCTCAGCCAGGCCTCTGCGTCGCGCTTGATAAACTATCATAAAAGTGCCCGGAATAATCAAGCCGACAAGAAACCCAATAGCTCCTGCAACAATGGTGAACGTTGTGGAAGATGCCGGTGTTTGTTGCTCTGCAGAGTAAAATCAAGCCAGCATATTAACATGAAACATAAAATAACACATTAGTATCGTTGAAGACAACGCCTTTCTGGAGTGGTTTCATCTACCGAATATGGCATTCTTAATCTTCCCCACCTCTGTATTTGCCCCTCACAAAATGGAGGGAGATTAACCCAAGCAGCCACCGGCGGTCACCATCAAGCTTTTTGGCCGGATACGACTTGTTGATAGCTTTAGTTCCCAGAAACAACTGCAATCGCCGTACCAAACTGAATAAAAAAACTCATTATTCTAACCTTCAATCTTCACTAGAGCTAAAATTTCAAATGATACATTTTGGTACACCCATAACAATTTGGCTGACATTTTATCTCCTTACGATCGGCTTTTCGGGCATATTTGTAGTGCAGTAGTACATTGGCCTGTTGAGCCACCGAAGTACAATGAATTCAATACAGTGCAATACTGACGTGAACAAGGAATGCACATGTCATCGAATGAAATCATGCCTTAGAAACCAGGAAGGGTTGGGCCAATCCGGCTCATAGATTAAGCCATATTTGAGAACCAACCATTTTAACTTTGGTGAACAGTCGCTTGGGGGACAGCAGCTTTAGTATGGCAATCAAAACAACTACCTGTGCCGTAATCATGCTTTATTAGAATAGTAACAAACATGAGAGAGAAATCATAGTGTTTTTTGTTTTGAACAAACGGCGAGGAGACAATAATTTGATAAACGCAATCAGTAATACAAGCTGGATCGACATTTGTGTACACTTTATTCATGTAATGTAAAACTGTGGAGACAATGTGCAATAAAACGATGACAATGTGAAGAAATGGTGTAGAGAAAATGAGGATTCAAACAAGTTTTCATACAACACTCATCAGGAATTTTCGTTGTACTAAAGGACAATGAAAACAAAATTGAACTAAAGTGAAAAGTAAATTATCGTATCCGTTCCCGAAGGAAACTCATGACGGCCACTAACACCCGATAAACCGATAAACAAAATTGAACTATTATAGAAAATCTAAGATAGAGAAATAACACTAGGAGCAACAGCAGTGAAATTTACAAGTCTGAATTTTATTAATGAAAGCGAGAGCAATAACGAATGCATGCACTAACACTAAACTTGCAACTGAAAACTGAACAAAGAAAAGAAAAGGACAAAGTGGTAACAAATAACAGCAGTACATTACACCTAGAAGCTTAACGGCCCAGCTTGGCCGCACAAAACATGGCACTTGAACAATTTCAACCCAATTATCCTATCCTTCTGTACACACAAATTAGTTTGTTTTTCATTTAATTTCACTGTCCAACGGCAGACGCCAATGCAAAAGAGAGGGCGTTAGCCAGCCATGGCAAGAGAAGAAAAAGAAAGAAAGAAGGAAAGAATATGATAATAGGAAGAAGAGAATGCATCAGCGGGGTGAAATTTATCACTATGTTGACCATGGCGGAGAGCGGCGAGATAAGCTAGCACAAGTGGTGAGCAGGCCTACAACGAGGCATGACATTTAACATGGTCTATGAACTGTCATATATTGGACATTATCTTCATTTCCATGGGCTACTTGAGCCAGTACGAATATGCAGAAAAGATAGGAGATTTGGTAAACATAGTTGACAAAGCTGTGAGAAGTACTATGTCATTGCGAGTGTCCTGTGGGAAAGTAAACCAAGTATACTTGCTGAGATGTTCAGGGTAAATGTTCATTTTAATACGATGGATCAGAACGCATGGCTGTCTTTGCGACAGGATAGAGATGGGGCTGGTGGAGGCCAAACTATATTGATCAGTAGAGGGAAATGGAGAGGGTTTACGAAAAATATTTTTCAACACATGTTTATGATGTATTTTTAGTGCCTGTACAGCGGATTTACTAAGCGGGGAATGTCAAGCAGTGGCGCCGTACAGGAAGATAGAAAGAAGGTGGCATTTGTAAAAGAGACGAATCCATTCGGGGGACCAGTGGGAGCAGTGACACATCAGGCAACCTACAGATTTGCTAACTTGGTTGCATACAAAATCTACGTGAGAATTCCAGGACAATTGCGAGTCAAATACAACACCCAAATGCCTGTGCTTATCTACAATATTAATAGTCGAATCAAGTCCGGGAAGGGTAGATGTGGGAGGGTGGTCTAGATGAGGGAGAAAGACTATTTCTGTCTTCAAGATATTGGGTTTCAGACTCCATGACAACATCCATTTATGAAGAACATTGATTCAATTTTGAAGCTTCGTACACAGGTTTTCAATGTCAGCGTCAAACTGAATGAGGCCTGTGTCAGCAGCAAATAGCGACAAACCATCTATATAATCAGGTAGGTCGTTTATATACAACAAGAATAGTAGAGGCCCCAGTATAGATCCCTGAGGGACTCCCCACTTCACAGGCAGTGGGTCTGAGAGTACCCCTTCGACGGACACTGCTTGCGTTCTATCTGTTATAGACCTTTCACACGACGGGACAAAGTCACGTCTATTCAGGCTCGCGGGCGGATCACCAAGGCGATCATCAAATGGCGGGAAATCTGAATCCGTAGACCCGACGGTCTGCCCGCGACACTCTGGCTGTGCGTTTTCGTTTTCGATTTCGTGTTTCCTGTACTGGTTTGGCTTGTGTTAGCGATCGCGTCTTCTCACTGAGCGTTTCCTGAACAGCAGCACAGGTCCGACTTTTTGAACAATGGCCACGCGGACATTCAGCCCAGAATCCGAAAGGATGCTTATCGAAATCTACTGCTCCCTACTTGAATCGACTGATAAAATGCTGATGACGCGAGCAGCGAAAGAAAACAAAGCAACAATACGGCTGAACGGCCAAAAGGGATTTGGGAAATCGAGCGAGGCACTCCAAACCCTGTAGGTTGTGAGCCGATTGCTCTGTCCGGACCCAGTTGCCCAAGGCCACGGAAAACTAACAGCAAAAATAGAGCAAAGCTACGCGGATTTGTCAAATCCATGGTCCCAGAAATACAGTCAACAACGCCAAAGCATCAACGACGTCTTTTCAGTCCTGTACTACTCCAACATCAGGCAAAGAGAGTTTGAATTTTCCCGGGAGGCATGGAAAAAAAATTTGATTTATTTCCATCAAAACACGTGCCTCCATTACAATTACCTAGGCAACATTCAAATCGTGACCGACTCGCGTGCGCCGTGTCGGCAGAGCTAGTCGTCGTGTGAAGTGTCTTGCCGTGGATCGTAGAACTATGGCATCGAGCAGTCGTGAGCACGAACCATCGTGTGACAAGGCTATTAGGTAGTCCATAATCCACGCCAGAGACGCTCCGGAAACCTTGTTCATCGCAGATAATTTAGCTAAGAGTCCATGGAACCATACCGTGTCAAACGCCTTTGCAAGGTCGAAAAACACATACCAACCTGTTGCTGGTCATGACGAAGGGCCACAATGTCCTGTACAAGGCGTGTCAGCTGCATGGTGGTTGAGTCTCCTCGTCAAAAACCAGATTGAACTGGGGCAAGGGCCGGCGACATATGAGCATAATGGTTATCAAAGAATAATCACTTACATAGTTTCAATACACAGGACAACAAGGAGATAGGACGGGAATTGCTGGCTTGTTACTTGGAGCCTTTGCTCTTGTAAACCGGAACAACCTTCGCGAGCTTTCATGCTGCTGGAAATTTACTCGTCGAGCAGGACACATTAAAAATACAGCAGAGGGGGTACAATATCGACCTGGCAAGTTTCTGCAGGACATCATTCGTAATAGTGTCCAAGGCAGGACTGCTGAGAGACCTTAGTCGGGCGATAGCCTTCATAACATCCGCAGTTGTGGTCATAACCTGACCAAATGTTTCATGAAGTTGGCTGTGGGCACGAAGAGCTGGAAGTGATAGCGAGGGATCATCCGGCACAGCAACGGAGGCGAACTGCTGGTTGAGGACAGTAGCCTTGTCGAATCTGCCAGAAACTGGATGACCGTCTTGATCAATGAGGCGAGGAATCCTGATGACGATTCCGCTGAGAACGAACCAACCGGTACATGTTAAGGTTCTCTAACATCATGCTGGCCTGTATAGATGCGTTTGAAATGTACATGTAAAAGGAGAAGAAGTGTTCGGAATCGTTTTCTGGTTACGATCGACATCCTCAACGCTTGGTTGTGGAGACAATAGAAGATACCGGAAAAATATAGACAAACCAAGTGCAGAAATCTTGGTTGGGACAAATCAGACGTTCAGCAAATACCCCAACCAAGGACCATGCCGTTTGCTCTTTCCACTTCATGGTGGATGAATGTAATGATTGCTGGCGACTTCATTATCTCTCGTAGAATATTCTGAAGGGAGGTGAGATGACCGGTGATGGATATTGACGAACAACAACATGTTGTACTTTTCTGAAAGTTTGCCAAGAATTTCTCCATATAGATGGCGAATGGCCAAGGTCAGCCTCGGGAAATGCAAGAGAGTGCCGATAAAAAAATCCATCGCACTAACAACATTGAACCCACCACTTCTTTTGCATAGTGAAAAATAAGGCTGGAAATTAACAAAACTCGGCAGTAATCGGCCTTCCCTCTGGCGGAGCTAAGCCAATCGTACATCATCCTTGTGCTGGTCTCTATGGCGATGTATGTCATACAATTGCCAATTTGGCGAGTTAGGTTTATCTTATCCAGGCGAGAGAAATGCCGTTTGAACCTATATTAAAGAGTAGGCGTGGAGAAAGCAGTTTTATGAGTGCAATAAAGAGTATAATAGATGCAGACATGGCCAGGCAACAACGAGTTTATGGAATTTTAAAGGATTTTTGTTATTCAAAATCGATTTTCATGTTCCGCTCTTCAATGAATCTTTTGAGGATGTAAACAAAAGAAGCATGTAGCGTTAAAGTTGTTCTCATAGCTGGTTATCAGATGTGTACTTCGTGGTATGTTGCACTGAATCACCTTCTGCGTTGGGTTTGGACTCAGTTAGTATTTATATTTTAGCACTGTTGTTGACACCTATTATGTAATGCTGTAGCACTTCCTTTTTTCACACATTTAATTATGCAAATTTAGAAGTTGCGACTTCGGCGGTATTAGTAATGAAGTTGGTTGCTCCAACGAGGAGGACACGCTTCTTGCCGAACTTGACACTTCACTGACTCACGACTGCCATCCGGAGTACACGAGGAGCACGTCGCACCTTCTGCTCGGCAAACCTGAAAGAAAGCACCACTCCCTGCTCAATACACAGTATTTTGGGGATTATCACTCCTCATCAGTTGAGCTTGAGTAGGCTGAGGAAGATTGTGCCTGAAAAGCACCACTTATATACTGCTCTCCAGGCCAAACCATCACCAGGGATACAAACTTACAGAGACGTTTTGTTTCCAGCGCGACAAACTAGAGCACCATAATATCAAGTTCACTTACGAAAACAGTGAAAATGGACCTTTTCCATTTGTTTAATGCGCGCGTCTAGATAACCCCTTACGGCACCATTACAAACCGCCTGTGCAGGAAGCCTAATGACAGTGGCATCTACGTGAACTTCCATTCCCAAGTGCCTCGCTCCGTCAAGTATGCGGTCGGTAAGCAGCACTTCGTCACAGCTGAAAAGATTTCGTCCTCATGGACACAAGCATGTGAGAGTCTCGGTATGACGAAGAGATTGCTGCGAAACAACAACTATCCCGAGGCAATTACAGAAGAGATTGTCGGAAAGGTTGCCACACTGCCCAACGACGTCAGGCACACATCAAAAAAAGATTCCTCTATACTTCAGCTACCCTTTCGCACCGCAGACATTCAGCGGAAGGCGAAGCATGAGTTGAGCGCTCGGGGTTCCCGGTCAATGTTGTGCCCGAACGCACTCGTGAAGGATTCCCTCGTGAAGTCAGCGCTGAATAAAACAAATTGCAGGGTGACACTACTTGTAGAACGAGCGACGCGTCCAGAACAGGGGAGGCGAGGAAGACCGCTCAACGCCTGCATCTCATGCTCCTCTGGTTTGCCGAGCTGCATGTGTAATTCCCCTGGCATAATCTACATGATGGAGTGTGCACTGTGTCGCAAGCGGTGTGTCGTTGAGACCTTCCGGGTTGCATGAGATCGTTTCGAGTAGCACCACTACAAAAGCACGTCACAGGATGCTCGACTAACCGAGGGGTAAATACATGGGTACTGATCACCAGAAGCATGGAACAATCACGAGCAAATATGTGATTTCTATTGGGGCCAAAGGTTGTGGAAACACGGATGGCCAAAAGAAAAATCAGGGATTCCCTCGAGATTCGAGAGCGTCCTCCTGAAATCAATATCTCCTTCGGATGGCCATTGAAGGCGCTAGCACCCTCACAAATAAACTGATAAATCTTGCTGTGTCTTTACAGGGTTGTACACATAGTAATTGAGATGTACACCTTCGTACACACATTTCCCGCGCTTTTTCTGCTGAGTTGCTCCATACCCACTCTTTCAGCACACTTCTCCGTGTCTGTTGTACATGCAAATTCATACACTCAATTTCATACGGCTATTGTGTGCTTCGTTTCTTTTGTACATGGACATACATACGCTCATGCTTGCTTTCATTTTACTTGTAAAAGGCCAGGTGCGCCCCTGGTTAATTGTTCTGACTATGGGTGACTGGCCAACGTATGTGTGCAGGTGGATCTCTCCGATTTCGCCCAAAATTTGCAGGTAGGTTCCCTTTGGGGTGTGGACCGATTGTGCAAAGCCCTTGAAAAAGTTTCCGAAAGGAACCTTGAAACTTGCATACCCCTCAAAAATGGCCGAAATATCACATTATTAATGGGTCTAGAAACGAGTCACGCCACAGCGTATACGAACAAGCTACGAACAAAACTCCATTATGCCAACATTGCCTCACCTTAGTAGAGTTCTTGGAGCAGTACCGCTTAGCCACACTAGGATCCCAGACGAAGAGGTCCATCACCCCTTCACGCCACAAAAGATCGTCTTGAAAATAGCCAATAGGGCTTGAAAGTGCTACGTCACAGCATAGCAACAATTTCAAAAATTCAAAAACTGGATCCACTTGGATCCAGTTTTTGTATGGATCCAAGCACATTTCAAGCGGTCTTACCCACAGCATGGTGATGTAGCCAGTGAAACTGACTGATTTGGCTACTGGGGGCGGGGTTACAACTGGTGGCGAAATAAAAGTCACACCTGCATGCGACATGAGTGGGTTGCTATGCACCCACGTACTTAGGCAATAGCAAAGTCACACCTTAGTGGATCCAAAAATAGAAATCTGATGTCAACTTACTACTCCCTGGCCGTTTTGACGTCGTCACTTTCAAGCCCTATTTACAAGCGCTGGCAAAACAGCCTGCTACGTCCAGAATTGGCCAGAACTATACACCGGCAGATAGTAGAACACCTCTTCAGGTGCTGAGGACATATCTCCCATTCTCCTTTTGGGGTTTTCTGGAAATATACCTTTTTTGAATTTTTCCACTCGACCATGCTGAAATACGGCGCAGGAAAGCTCGCCCCTCCGTGATGTCTCCTCACCGATTTCTACTCCAACACTACTCCCAAGGCCGCAGAACAAAGTGTATTGTTGGGTCTGACACGGAAAAGCAGCGGTGATCACTTGTAACTCCAAACGACAAGCTTCTCCTTGCGCCACCAATAATTATTTGTGCGACTGTTGTGACTGAAGGCATGAGCGCAATTCTTGAATTTGGCCACAAGAGGCACGGTGAAATCACGTACCTTGTGACGCAAGAATGCCAAGTCGCGTGGATCACGGTTCGCGAGATTTCAGAGTCACCTTCGTCAAGTGCGCTTGTTACTCGCCTTGAACGCCCGTTGGTCTGGAAGTGATCACACTTGTGTTGTTACTGCGCTCAAGAACACGCTGACCGTGTTGTAGGCCTACGAACCAGGACTTTCCCTGACCATGTAGGTCAAAGACCAGAGAAAGATGATGAAATCACATTCTTTATGATGTAATAAATCTCTAATCCAATTCACGCAACAAGTGCGTGCAGCCAGTGATGCTCGCGTGCCAGTCAACACAAAGCGACTGAGCTAGCAGCTTTTGTTGAGCATCGACATGAAAACAAGGCACTTTTACTGTTGTACTATGTTCAGGGTTCCAGGAGGTAAGTGTGAAAGATGAATAACTCTCCATGCTGTACGGGGGGCATATTTGAATTGCTTGCTGCCATTGCAACACTCCTAGGACAGGTTGTGGGGGTTCTCAGCAGATCAAGCAGGAAATGCAGCTCATCTCACCTCTGCCATCATGGTCTGTTCCGAGTAGCATTCCAGCCAGGTTCGCGATCGATGGCCACGTGTCGACGTGTTGTGATCCAGGGAGAGCCATACTACGTCACAGAGCGCGCGATCTCACCGTGCATCTTGTAATAAACTTGAAAAACTGCGCTCGGGACTTCAGTCACTTTTGCATCAACAGTTGCACCAAAAATTGGTTGCGCAAGGGGAAGCTTGTCGTTTGAAGTGACAAGTGACCACCGCTGATTTTCCTTGTCAGAGTCAACTATGCACTTTGTTCTGCGGCCTTGGGAGTAGTGTTGGAGTAGAAATAGCTGAGGAGGCGTCGCGGAGAGGCGAGCCTTCCTGCGCATGTATGACTTGGACCATATTTCAGCATGGTCGAGTGGAAAAATTTAAAATATTTTATTTCAAGAAAACCCCAAAAGGAACAAGGGGGACATATCCTCAGCGCTAGAAGAGGTGTTCTACTATCTGCCAGTGTATAGTTCTGGTCAATTGAGGACGAAGCTGGCTGTTGTGCCAGCGCTTGTAAATTGGCTATTTTCAAGAGGATCATTTGTGGCGTCAGGGGGTGATGGACCTCGTCTTCTGAGATCCTAGAGTGGCTAAGGGGTACTGCTCCAGGAATTCTAGACCCATAAATAATGTGATATTTCGGCCATCTTTCAGGGGCAATAAAACTTCAAGGTTCCCTTTAGAAACTTTTTCAAGGGCTTTATACAATCGATCCACACCCCAAAGGGAACCTACCTGCAAATTTAGAGCGGAATCGGAGAGATCCACTTGCGCACATACTTTGTGTGCTCAGACATGCTGAATTTTCATCCTGCGCATGCGCCAAGCGTAAATTGCATCCAAAAAGAGCGGTTGTCAGTTGACAAACCTCTACTACTTCTAAATACTACTAACATTTCTGACAAGAAACCCAATCTTTACTTACCAGAACAGGGGCGAACACAGGCTGGAGCTGGATGAGACCAATTTCCACCTTGCAAGCACACTGTTGTTGGTGAACCCATTATTATGTACCCGTCAGAACAGGAGTACGTTCTTGGTATGCCGATGTCTTCAGTCCCTGTGTCTATCCGCCCATTGGCTGGAGCGAGCAATTTAGGGCATGAGTTTGTGCCGTCTGTAAATTAAGATATGTTGACAGGAAATTGTGAGTGTGTGTGTGTGTGTGTGTGTGTGTGTGTGTGTGTGTGTGCGTTTGTGTGAAGACGTGCGGCCGAAAAAAAGGTTCCATTTAGCGCAATGGTTCGGCGTCGATTTGCTAAGTAATTCGCACTAATTGTCCGAAGGAACTACCAACCAAGAGAGCCCGAAAGCTGTGGGCTCTCGCTATGCCTTTTGCCTAGATCATCGTGCATTATGCGGTAGCAATAAAAAAAACAGTTGCATATGGCTGAAGTAAACGGCACCAATAGACACCCCTTGCACTTTGGAGTGAATAAATTATTCGTGATATTTATTGCATTGAGGCTCTATTATGCTGGTCGAATAAATTACTACTTGCTACTAAGAAGTGAAGATTAAATTCCTACTTGGCTAGTTTTGACGTAGCAAGGCTCTTTTAGCTAGTAGAGAAATTTTCCTGCCCCAAACTTCTATGTATTCACAGGAATATCTCAATACCCAGTATTAACTTCGCCCATGTAAAGCGAGTGGTTGTCAGACAAGCACAGAAGTTATGAAAAGTAATAAATGGCCTTGGCTAAATGGCCTTATTAAACTTTGTAGCGTATGACTGTGCACGAAATTCCAGTCAAGAGAAAAAGGAACGTATAGTAATGGGTAGTGATTGTTTAAAAAAAACTAAAAATACAGAGGTATATATACGCTGCTAGAGACATATTGGCTATGTGTTCTTCACCGTGCGATGTCCGTGTAACATGCCCCCCCCCCTTTCCCCCTCCCCCCCCCCCCCCCTCGCCGGCGGCCCTTTATGTGCATTGGACGATACCTGATGATGATCTGACTAAGCAGAAATTCAGACTAATTGCTCTCCACCATCTGCTTAGGATGGCATTGGATTCCTGATGACATGCCGAGTGGTTATCTAATACTCACCTGTACACACTGGGTTGCTGGACCAAGTGCCATTCGCCAAACACACTGCTGTCTGATCACTGCCCAGCTCATATCCAAGATTGCAGGTCACGGTACGCACACTGCTGACAGTGTTTTCTCCTTCCGAGACCTTTCCATTGGACACTTGCAGAGACCCACACTGAACAAGTCCTGCACAACAAACCAGCACAGAAAACTTTGCTATATTGGTAGTGATTGTCGTTAAGTTGCTCCGAAAAGGATGCCTGCTGAGAAAGTATGCTTTAGAAATAGTCTGTAGAAAGGGGCAGCATCGTCGCGGCCATTTGTATTCTTTGGATTCAATCCAATGAGGTGCTTCAGCCCATCATTGCTGTGGTGGACTCGTTAACAGATTTCCGACAAAGTCACTGAAGTCCGCAAACCGTTTAGCTATAACATTTGCATGTTAATTGAAACACATTTTAACTGAATTTACTACATGATAAAGTGTAGTGGTTCCAGGAGTCAGAATTCAGACTGCCTAATCAAGATGGTTTTGGAACATTGCCTGCTGCTGCGCACCGGTCGACTAGTCTGCTTGCCGTACATTTGACCATATTGCACTGCCATGTAATCCAGGTAGTCGTACAACCCAAGTTGCGGCAGAAGGTGGACGTTCCATGCATATTGGGACCATGTATGCTCATTTGTTAGCTTAACGTGTAGTTTGTCACCATGACCAGTACGGTAATAGTTGGTACCAAACTGAAGCAGCACAAGAGTTGCAACAATCAGCAAACGGTAAAGGGGGACTGTAAGCTGAAGTTGTTTTACTAGAAATTTCACGTCAACACTTTGCTGCTTGGGACCATGTCACATCCCTTCTTCCCTCTGTACCATCTCGACCAACCACATGTTACGTTATCTCCCTCCTCAACTAGCTCTTCCTATGTTGTGCCTACTATGTCTTCTTCACAGATTCTGCCTGAACAGATGCTCAATTATGTTCTTGTCCTCTATCCTAGTCCAAATCCTGCCTTGCCCATGCATGACTCTCATGAAATGCCTGTACTAAAATAGTCTATAGAAAAAGAATATTGGATATCATACTTCTCTCATCAACTGTGATAATACCCATTTCATACCCCTCCCCTTCATAAAATTATTAATACCTTCTGTTTTCTTTCCTTTCCTTTCATCTTCTTTTCCGTTCCTTTCTTCTTCATACACATTTTTAAACATTTTCATTATAATTATTGGGAGAGCCGTGGGCCAATAGCCCAGGTGAGAAGGCAGTCGTGCCTGTTCATATGTTGAAGTAAAATAAAGAAACAACAATAACACATGTACACTCCACACCCCGTACGTTGCCTATGACACGATACAGTGTGGTTCCCTTTCTTGTCACCCAACAGTCTGGTCCCTCCGATCTATCAATGCCCTTTACTTCTACTGAACAGCACGCCTTCATCTAACTGACGTATGGAGTTGACAGAATACTAGCAATAATAAGAATCATGACTAATTATTGCAGTAACTGAAGTAAACATGGCCAAGAGTGAGTACTATAATTGGGGAAGAAGGATAATCCGCCTACAAAGTGAGGTTTCTATTAGAAATTATTATGGGAGAAGTTATTTTTTATCTAGTCCTGATTGGTGCAACTTGTTGGTTCAACTTTTCTCATGATTATTAATTTATTTTCCTGCAATGTTGTGTGTATGGCCATGATCAATCCTAAAAAAAAGTCTGTGGGTTCGTCTAAGACCATGATTGAGGAACGAGAGGTACCAGGTTCAAGTCCTGCTTGGAAGCGGACGATATTTTCCAGCCGTGCTGCGACCCACAGTTAATTGGGAACTCGTGGCCTGGCATGAGAAATACGTGGATGTGGCAAATGGGATCGAGGCCTTTGGCCTCTGGTTGGTGGATCTGACCTATCCTCCCCCACCGTTTAGGAGCCGCATCTGACGCCTGAGCATGGGGTGGTGGCGTCCACGGAAGCAGAAAGGTGGTTCTTGACCAGGGAGTTGTACGACTCTTTGCTCTTGACCTGCCCGGTACGCGAGCCCCGTCAATATTTGTTAATGTCCACTACCGGTAACCACCTTTTGAAAGAAAGAAGACGAAACCTTTAGCAGTAACCAGCTTCTTGTGATGGTCTTGTCAGTATCATTGGGGTGTGCCAATACCGTCCAGGCATACTGTTACAGATATCTTATGTCTGCGAAATAAATCTGCTGATGACGTGACTGGTATGCGAAATCAAAAGCCAGGCCGGCAATCATGGTAGCATGAACATCCATGGGATATTTTGCCCGCCCGCACTAGAAGAGTTCAAGTCTTTCAGCGAGTAATGTCAGGGCTCACCACGACCGTACAAATCTAGGAACCAACTTTCCCTTCCTCTAGCCCGCTCTTCTGCATTGCTGCACTCCCCCCTTTTCAATGGCTATTTGCATTGGCTTAAGCTGCACCAGGAGACAAAGGGCCTTTCTACTTTAACAGCGTTCAGGAACGCCTTGCTTTACCAGTAGACCTCAGTTTTAGTCCATATTTGCTTTTTTCTTCTTTTCCTTTTCTTTTTGACTTCTACTCTTTTTCATGTTAGCCATAGTTGGCTATAAAAACCCTGCAATCGCCACGCAAAGTGGTCATTGGCTACCCCAGCCATGTATTGCTTGGAATAAAATAAAATAAACGAGAGAGCTTGGAAGCTCAGGGCCCTACGCTATGCTTTTATGCTTTTTTGCCTAGCTCATCGTACATGTTATAAGAACTGAGGCAAAAGTATTTGCTGAATTTATTGCGGATTGTTATTTCTCTAATAATCATCTACTTTTGGTTTGCTCCTTCTTTTCTTTTTATCTCCTTATTCTGTAAATCAACAAATTTTGGCCGATGAGAAATAGAAACCTCTCTATCAGAGAGGTTAAGATGCACGATATTTTCGACATGACGCGCAATTTCACGTCAACTTTGAAATCGATTGGTATTTTTGCTCTCACATGCCTCCATTGCTCAATCATGCATCATTTGCCTATATGACAAACTTTGGCCTGCGATTTACTTTGGCCGGTTGGTACCAAATGGCGAAATCAGCGAAATTAAATTGGCAGCAAAAATTACGAACGAAGTAGCGGTGAGGCATCCTGCAGCTTCATTATAAAAAAAATATTATCAACACCTAAGAACACAAATTAGTGTATATAACTGCTCCTTGGCAGACTTCCACTTCATATAGTATCCTGATGATGGCAATTTGCCGAAACGTTGAAAATGATTATGTGAAATGAAATGAGTTGTGAATTTGCAGTGCCCAGGGAATGAGCATGTGTGCTCACCAATTCTCTTCGAACAAAAATTAGTTGATTTTAATACAGTAATCGGATTTTCTGGCCTTTTTGTAGTAATACATGTACATTGACCTGTTGAGCCAATGACGACGCCGAATGCATGGTTGCCTGTGGAGCACATTACATAACTTAGCAGTCTCGTAATATACGTATCCTATCCGACGGCAAAAGAGTCTGCAGATTTAGTTTTTCTGCGCATCGACTGGATGTCTGCGACGCGAAAGTTCAGATCGCGTTATTTGGCTCGAACATCGAAAAATCAACGCAAGTGACCTGCTGCTCACGTGGAAATTTGGACATTACATAACTTTACAGTCTCCTATAATATGTAGCCTGTCCGACGGCAAAAGAGGCTGCAGATTTAGTTTTTCTGCCCGTCGACGGGATGTCTGTGCTGACGTTCACTGGGACCGGCGCTGACTCTGCGGATCACGGGCGTTCTGGACTCGATGGGATGTCTGTCCTGACGTTTCCTGGGACCGGCTTAGACTCTGCCGATCACGGGCGTTCTGGACTCAACGGGATGTCTGTCCTGACGTTGCCTGGGACCGGCGGACTCTGCCGATCACGGGGGTCCTGGAGTCGACGGGATCTCTCTTCCGACGTTTCCTGTGACCGGCGCTGAATCGCTCGTTCTTGCTTAATTTGGAGACGACGGGATCTCTCTTCCAAAGTACATGTATGTTAATGCGGACGCATCCTATCACCTATTCGGCGTCTATTCTAATTTAACTTCCTCCTCGTCTCCCTATTTCTTTCCAAATCTCCCTCTACATCAGGGAGTCGTATACATAATACGACGAATATTGGTACGGTACGGGACAGATACAGGAGCCCGCAAATATTGTGGACAGCTGTTATGTACACTCCTGTAGAGCCTTTGTAGTCACAGATACGGGACAGATACGGGACAGATACGGGATAGCTCCAGCCGTGACACAAACAAACACACAAACACCAAATTAAAGCTGTGTGGACCCTGCCTAGCGCCAGACGTTACTGAAGTAACGTCTTCTGCATAGCTACGGGAATAAAGCGTCAATAACGGTCATTTGGATTTGACCAATCAGCGCACGGCAAACCAGGCTGTTTCTTGCAATTGTGGGGTGTTTTCTGAGTGGAGCTTGGCTGTATTCGTTGGTTTTAGACATTAGGCCATTGTGGATTTGTGTTCAGAAGGTGTGTCTTTGGAGGGTTCCCGTCTCGAATTTTTCGATTTGGGCTTTCTTTAGCTGAGATCGGATTGTGAAATCACTCAAACTTCGAAGGCTTGCGAACAAGTGAGTGAAGAGAAAATTAGAAATCAGGGACGGTAAACCGATAGAAAATCCCAAGACCTTGAAAATGAGCTATCGATGGTGAGAATCGGCCAAGGAGAACCGCTGTTCTACTTGTCCTTTTTGGTTAGAAATTTGTCGAAACACATCTACTGAAGAACCTCAGCCAAGAAAAAGTTCAATATTCCGATTCTAAGCGGGTGTATATGTTGGACTCAGTAGAGCGTCCAGCCCCTATATGATGTCCAACCCCTATATAGAGTCCATTGGTCCAAAATCCACTGTACAGAGTCCAAAATCCACTGTACAGAGTCCAAACTTGGAATCAACTGTGAGCTCAAAGTTTAGATGGACATCACTCCCTGTATAGAGTCCAGCCAATTGGCTTCACCCCTATATAGAGTCCATTTGTCCAAAATCAACTGTATGGAGTCCAAACTTTGAAATCAACTACATGTATAAGGAGTCTTTATGTGGACAACACTCCCTGTATAAAGTCCAGCCAACTAGGCATCCCCTATCCAGAGTTCGAAATTAGACATAGGATCTGCTGTGTTAAAGCAGTGAATATTAACCAGAAAACGCCTCTCCCTTTAATCCTTTACATCATTCACTTCTCAAGATAAAAAATAAGTATTGAGGCGCCCCTGTAGCCACTTCATTACATGAAAAACCCTACAAACACCAAATCAAGTGGTCTCTTCGCAGACGCTGCAAATTACAATATCTCAATCATGTAGTGTTGCCAAATATTGTGCACGCACACACACACACACATGCACACACCCACACACCGCCAAGAAAATACCTAGAAACAACCAAGAATCGAAAGAGAATAATGGAGAGCCAAGGATTAATTATTTGTTTTCAAATTATTGTGCGCGCGCGCGCGCACACACACACACACACACACACACACACACACACACAGACACACAAACTTATACAACGCCAAGAAAACACCAAGAAAAGAGTAGAGACACAATACACACGCAACTCCAACAGCCATGCAAACGTCCACCCATTGACACGTAAAGTCAAGAGGGATAACAAATAATTATACGAAACGAATGCATACATGGACGGGTGCACGCACCTATTAGTGTAAGAGAGTAACATAGTGTAGTAGTCAGCATAGTACTAGCACATGCTGAGAGTGCAATAGCAAGCTTCACCATTGCTCATGGCCATGCAAATGTTCAGCAGCACTCAGTTCCGCAAGCTTCTGAAGATCAGCACACCTGCAAAAAGTAGATAGCACAAGGATACACGCTTATTACCGTAATGATGCATGGGAGCACACAACTACCAAGTGCTCAACGAATGTGATGCTCAATGAAAATCCATCCACACAAAGACCTGTAAACAGGTGACGGTGGGGACAATAATCTATTAGTAATACGAGGAATAAGATCGTTTGTGCACACTCAAGACGCACAGACACACCACCATACATGTAGTGTACAGTGTTTCACTTCACTGCATTTAAATTGAAATGAGATGATTTAAACAATCTGTACAGCGTCGCAGTCAGTCAGTCTTCCCCAAGATGGAAATGCAATGATTTGTTGTCACGAGGCAGTTTCACTGACACAATGTCATGTTTGTGACATCAAAACGGTTACTTCTGGGAACACGAGTACATGTATTAGCTTGAAGCTTTTTCTTGTCATCGGCATACAAGAAATCCTCCTACTACTACTACTACTACTACACTGGCACTGCGTTTGTGGATCCCATTGTATTTGACATCATACTAGAGCCTAGAAGAGGAAGAGTGTCGTGGAGTTCACATAATTATCACAGGGATAAAATACTTTTCTCATGTAATAAAATAATAATTGATGATAGCTAGACGATCGTATACGATTGATGCAAAGTCCTTGCAGTCCTTGAGGACTATTACGAAGTGGTTGATTACTTGTTAGGGCATTCATTCAAGCAACATCAAACAAACGCGATACGATCCTTGAAAATGGAAAAAAATTCAAGCATAACGACAGAACAGCAGACCAATCGAAACGAGTAAAAGCTTCCTTACCTCAGTCATCGTCCTGCCATGTAGTTGGACAGCCTTTTGACACGGTGGTACAGGCAGCTCTTGTCCAGTCAAACAGGGCCCGGTATCCTTGTGGCATCGAACGAAAGAGAGTGTCAGTGTATCTGACTCGTCAGATTGGAACTGTGCTGAACTTTTCTCGTTCTCCGCTTTCTGCTTTCATCCCTCGCTCTGATGAAACCGTTCAAACGCCTTCCTGGCAGCAATGCAATTAATGGCCAGCCAAACAGGGGATCCTTGTGGCGTCGAACGAAAGAGAGTGTCAGTGTACCTGACTCGTCAGATTTGAACTGTGCTGAACTTTTCTCGTTCTGCAATTTCTGCTTTCATCCCGCGCACGGATGAAACGTCTTCAGAGAACCACAAGACGCATTCCAGATTTGATTTTGAACGTCTCCTTATCCTCCTTGGTTACCTCGAGACAGATTACTGTCAGCAACTGCACAGCAGAACTGGCAGCCAAGGCTGAAGTGAAGAAATGCGCTGCCATGAGGCAAGCAAAACTGAAAAGGTGTTTTCTCTTTCGGGCACAACACACAGGACGGCGTGATTGGATAAACTGGACTCCTGGACCGTGAATAGGGGACTTCTAGAAAAAGTGTACTCCTTATAGGGGATTGCGCGGCAGGATGAAGCTGATCAAAACTGAGTGGACTCCTGGACTCTGTATAGGGGATTTTGGACCAATGGACTCTATATAGGGTGCTGGACATCATATAGTGCATGGACTCTATACTGAGTCCTACATATAAACCAAAATACAAAATGTACTCCAAGTTGGTGTAATCTATGTATACGATGTATATGTACAATGACTATTCAGCATTCGAAGGTGGGTAGGCAGCTTGAATACTTTTGAAATGGCTATAATAACAAAGAATAGGTGATGAGTGTGGAGAAATGATCGACATATTCGCAGCTACATCCTGCGTTGAGTCGTTCCGCAATCTCGTCTTCGACTTCTTCCTCCTCAGCTGAACACACGACGTCGCTGCCGTCACTAGCCCGAGCCTCAGAATTTATCTCAGGTGATGACACCTCATCCTCCGACTCTGACGAGTCATCGGCTACCTTGAGCCGCATCACAGCAGGAGATGACGGCTGCGATTCCGCCTCGCTGTCGACATCGATGTCGGGACCAAAACAATGTCTCATCCTGACTCTGAACTTCAGCGGCTACTTTAGCATCCACTCGCCACCAGGCTCGAGCTAGCTGTACACAATGACTGTTGTGTGTGCTCTGCGAACAGCTCTGGTGTCTGCAGCCATCGCAACAAGATCAAGAAACACTGTAGTCGCCACTCGACACTTCAACTTCAAAATAAATCACTTCAAGTTCAAGCAAGGAGTTCAAGAAGTCGTGCGAACAGCGCGATCAAAAATCGTTGAACGTCACAAATCGACCTTTGTCTGGAAAAAATTGAAATCTCTAAGGGTCATTTTCGCAGATTGCGGCTCATGTGTTGGTGACTATGTGCATGCGGGCGAGTAAATTCACGTACGGATGCTGGTTGAAATCTTTTATTCTCACGACTGGTTGTGCACATCATTGTATTGCGAGTTGATAGACAGTGACAGCGATACAGTTGTAAGGATGAAAGACCTTGCTATTTTCCAAGGTGTTGGCATGCCTTCCAATATATTCTTAATCATGATTTTGGGATGATGATTAAATTGTTGAAACTCTACTAGTATTTGTTATTGTAAGATCTCGAAGTCTTACGCACTATTCTATATCATTTAGCGTCCAAGCTCTTCTTGAACCGCGAAAAATAATGGGATTATGAAATCATAATAAATGTCTTATCCGTGCACATCATGATCCATTATGCCTTTAGTTTAGTTCTGGAGGTAAGAAGTTACATAACGACGATGAAGCAACGATGTAGCATCATGGCCTCATCACCAAGAGTCCCTTACTGTGCTCTTGATTTCTCGGTGGGCTACAAGTCAGGTCGCTTAGCTGAATAAGCTGGTTTTGCTAATGAAGACCATAGAAGACCTCTCCAGGTGCCTAAAGCAATCAGCGTTAACACACGAGCCAGGATCACCGAAAACCATCACTTGTTTTTGATATCATATTGATAAAAAAAGTGACGTTGAAGACGGACGAAAGAAAAGTCGCGGACCTAGACACTTTCCATCCTAACCTTTCTGTCTTTCTTGTCACTAGCCTTTCTTTACACCTGACAAGCCCATGTTTGTTTGTTTACCAGTTACTAACTAGCTAGGCAAGCCCCAGGCCAATGAAGGGACACGACTGGGACACTCCACGTACCTGCGCTTTGCTGGGGAATATGTACGATCGCGGGACGCGAATAACCCACGCGCATCAATCGTTGTTGACGCCAATCACGACACATGATGACAGACTGGGACGGTGATTGCTCATCAAGGGAGTCAAGTGAAAGCCGTAGAGCTCAGTAGGACGAATCTCTCCTGCCGCAAAGCGCTTCGGCAAGGCTGCAGATTTTGTGTAGAAGAAAGCTGTTTTGTTTTCCATGCCCAAGCTCTTGGTTTGAGTGGTACTTAACAAGCTCCGTTATGGCCAGCAGGTGCGCGTGCCTCCAAAAAGAGTGTAGCGCAAGTGCGTAAATTCTGGCGGGAGAATTAGAAATCTCGCACTCACTGCATACTACTTCCTCCGCGTCATCGAAATTGTCGCCGTTTGACTAGTGACTTGTCTTTTGTTACTGACAACTCCATAAACTAAACCATTCAAAACTTATTACACAGTATGATAGTCTGAAGACTAGAGTAATGTTCCAGGACAATTGGACTGAGAGTTTTCATGCAGAGATGAAGTCCTCGTCGTCGCTGATGTCAATGGACGCAAAAATATCGTTCCGAAATATTTCAAGGAAGGTTGAAAGTTCGTCGCGCCTCATCTCAAATGCTTTGACTTTCTCCACAGGACAAGAGCTGCTATGCTTGTTGTCTGCTAGCTCTGGATGATTTCTACTTCACCACCAACGAAGCCTAGTAAGAATACACGATCGTTGCGAGGTCGGTTGATTACCGTCGGCGGAATCACCTCGGAATCACCTCGACCTTGAAATGAACTTTTTTAGCCGTGGCATGTCCACAGCTCATGCAGGTAAGTGTAGTATCACGTCCGGCGCGTCCTCTTTTTCAGCATCACTGGCCATGGTACGGCACCTGCGCGTGCATCACTAAAACTACGTGTAGAGCCTCTTTTTTTTTTTTTTTTTTTTTTTTTTTTTTTTTTTACGTTCACATAACCAGCTCGAAAAGAACAAGGAAAGACAATGGTACGGAGACTAGGACAAACGTGACAACTAATGAGCAGGCGCTACACCGAGACGCAGCAGTGATGATGGGGCATTGATGACTCTGCCGACCTGAGGTCTCGGCGTCACGGCCAAAAACACGCACCAAAAACAATGAGAAAAGAAGAAGATAGAGCTGTACAGGTGAGAAAGATGCAAAAACCCAAGGCTTAACACGAGCGATTGTGGGGGAGAAACTGTCTTAGCGTCATACTATTCATAGGGAATCGACTGCCCAGAGCCAGTTTGTGCTGCGAAGATGGCGGTAAACATTCGTTTTGAATGATTGCATTCTCTTGCTGTGGGGAGGCTGGGATAGGAGAGCGGCAGGGAGGGAGTTCCAATCGCTGATGCTGCAGTGTGGGAACGAGCGCTTCAGTGCCAGCGGGGCAGATGCAGGCAGCTGGTGTTGGAGCTGGTGGTCATGGCCACTGACAGCACCGTGCTCGCTGCGAGTTCTGGGGTTGGTAGAGATGATGTGGCGCGGTGGCAACACAGAGAGCAGCTGCGGAGGACCAGGCAAGTAGTGCAGCTTGTACAGGCAGGCAAGCGAGGCAACAGTGCGGCGGATGGCCAGGCTGGGTAGGTGTGCCCCAGGGCCGATAGCATGAAGCGCGCGGCGCTGAACATTGTTCAGACGCTGGAGGTGACTCTGCGCAGCTCCCATCCATACAAGAGGCGCATACTCCATGACTGGTCGTACGAACGCCTTGTATACGGTCGTCCGGCCGGCGGGGGTGAGTATGTGGGCGGCTCTGTTTAGGACCCCAAGCCGTTGGCGTGCACGGGTGGCTACGGAGCGTAGGTGATCGCTGAAGTTCAACTTTGCGTCCACCTTCACACCAAGGAGGGTGATGGTGGTTGTCTCGGGCACCAGTGTGCCACCAAACAGGAGTGGGGGGAGATCTAAGCCAGTGCGTCTGAGGGTGGCTGTCATGGCCTGGGATTTGGTCGGTTCAAACATCACTTTCCATGTACGTCCCCACTCGTGCAGTCGGTCAACGGACACCTGCAGTGACTGCGCGGCGACTGTTGGGGTCTGCTGGGAGGTGACTAAGCTGTACAAAGTTGTATCATCAGCATAGGCTTCCAAGCTGGCGCCGTCAGCGAGAACATCTGGCGCGTCGTTGACGTAGGCCAGGAAAAGCGTTGGTCCAAGGATGCTTCCCTGGGGGACTCCAGCGGAGGTCGTATACCTAGATGACGTCCGCCCTCCAACGAGGCACTGTAGGGAGCGGGTGTCCAGGTATGACGCCAGCCATCTCTGAAGCGGACCATCTATGCCTAGGCTACGTACCTTGTGGAGGAGGCCGACATGCGAGACACGATCAAACGCTCCTGCGATGTCCACAGCAAGGATACGAGCCGCCCCTCCACAGCCCACAGCGCTTGCCCAGGCAGTTTGGAGAGCTTGCAAAGCGTCCGATGTTCCGAGGCCTCTGCGAAATCCAAACTGGTGCGACGTGAGCAGATGATGATCTTCAAAATAGTTTACGATGTGTCTGTTTACAAGAGTTTCCATTACTTTCGAGATTATGCACAGTAAGGATACGGGCCTGTAGTTCTTAAGGGTTGAACGGGAAGATCGCTTGTGGATCGGAACCACGTTGGCCGTCTTCCACATCCTAGGTTGCACTCCAGACCGGAAGCATAAAGCAAATAACTTGGACAGTGGCTCTGCGAGCTCATGAGCACATTCCTTAAGGACGCGAGCAGAAATACCGTCAGGCCCGGTAGCCTTGGAGACGTCGAGCCTTGCCAGGAGGCGGCG